AGGATCTTCATCACCGGGTCTCTTTGGGTGGTCAGAGAAAATCAAAGGCGTAAGCAAGGACCAATAATTTCTCAGAGCTGATCTCCATACTTGTGTATCCTCGAAGAATTCTTCCGGTTTTAAACCTGAAATATTCAATATAAATCCAAAACAAAATATTAAATTCAAGCCCAGCAGAGGTTGTCAAAAGAGATACAGTCCATGAAACAACAAAGTGGTTGTCAGAAGAGATACTTTCCATGAATTTCAAGCCCAGCAGAGGTTGTTCCTGCAACAGCAGACCTGTTCTGTATAGGAATCCAGCGTTTACTTGTGGTTCCGCTTATACATGGAACCAGTGGGTGGTAATACGGAACACTATCTCCATCTTTGCAAAGAGGTATAGAAGCTTGCGAACTACAACAACCAGAAAAAGCATCAATACGGGAAAGCCAAGCTTACACTTTAAATGCCAAGAACATGTCTCAGGATCACACTTACCGAGACGAATAGCAACTTGAATCTACAGTTTTCTGCCAAAGAAACGTCTCATCCTGCTGAGCTGTTAGACTCCAACAGATTTTCTTAGATAACTCATCCACCCGTGTTGAGATGCTCGTTTTCTTGGTATCTGGTAAGTTTCCCTGTGCTTTGTTTGTGGGGGAAGTTAAAACAAAGTATCCCCCGGGTTTCAGAACACGATCCACTTCCAAAAGTAGCATTGCATCTGCTTAAGGGACAAACAGAACGTCAACATATCAGAACAAAGTTAACCATATTACGAGATCTCAACTTCAAAAGTTAAAAAACAACGACACACGCTTGCGAGACCGTTTGATGTGATTACCTTTGATATCCCAAGTAGTGCCACATTGAGCACAATGGACCATATCAAAAGACAATGCCGGGTAAGGAAGCTGTTTTGAAAAGAAATTGCCAATCATTGCAGGAAGGCCTCTCTCTAGAGCTAACTGGACTTGGCTCCCAGTTGCCTCATACTCAGCGATACATATAGGCATCAGCTTCAAAGACACTAAATGTGCACCAAAGCTACCAAAGCCGCAACCAATGTCTAACACAGTCCGTACCTGCAAGCATCAGAAGAAATATCAGAAGCTGGAGCTGAAAAGCTGATGTGTAAGATAATAAGATTAAGAATACTTACACCCGCTTGCGCAAATTCAGTATCACTTCCTAAACCTATCATCTCAGCAATTTGACGAGCATAGTCTTTGACCCCATCAAAGACCAGGCCGTCCTCCGAGTGAAAAGTAATTTGATTCTCTTCAAGCAACATTAACCTAATAATGATGATAAGGAAAAAGAGAAATTACAAAACAGAACCAAATACTTGCAGAAACTGTATCTAAAGAAACTGTAAGTCAAAAGAAAAGACCTCGTTGTTACGGTTCCTGACGAAAGAAACTGGTCTTTGGTAATCTTCACGTTACCACTCCATATGATATCTCTACCAAGTGGCCACCTAAGTGGTATTTTATAATCTCTCGGAGGTCGAACTACACATCTTTCCTTCTCTCTTTCAAACTCACAATGTCGATCTAACTCCTCACCCTCTTGAAGCCCAGCAAGCAAATTCCCAGTTATGTTATAACAAGGCACATAGCTTTCTCTTTCTTTACCACACAAAGGAAACTCTTTTAAACTAGCCCCTAAAGAAAGAGACCTCAAATCAAGATAATCAACAGCAGCTTGCTCCTTTATCCTCCTATAGTTACTATAAATGTTGGGCACAAGTGTCGAACTTGTCGAAGAATCATACGAATTAGATGTCAATGGTGCTAAAATAGTAACTAAAGCAACAACACCGACAATGAAGAAAAGCAATCCTCTGATCCGTGGTCTAAGACCAAAAACAGAGGAAACACTCTTGTACCAAGAACTTCTCATATCAAAAAAATCGTCTCTTTCGTAAACAGAAACCACTAACTCCTCTTGCTCTCCACAGAAACTTTGTCATCCGCTTCTTTCATCAAAACAAGTCTCAATTTTGAAGTACATAGTCTCATTACCACAATCCTAAAGAAACAAGTCTAGATTTTTCTCCACTCTTTATAATCCAAATCAGGAAATGGCCTCACTAGTAGCAGATGCCAAATTCAGAACCAAATTGAAGATTAGACTCACAAAGGCAATGCCAATTCCGGAAAAATCAAAACCACCTGCAATCAAATCTAACAGATCAAAAAATCAAAAATTTCCCAAAAAAGAAACATTACCATTTCTAGTGAATCTATACATTAACCGAATTTTGCTTTTTGGTCGAAGAAAATTCAAGAAAAAAGAAAGCTTTGATAATATTTTTATGGATAAACCCATGATTGAGATCTCGAGAATGACGAAGAAGATCAGATCAAAAAAAAAAAAAATTGCAGATAATCCAAAGACAAATGACGATAATCAATTTAGGGTTTTTGAGATGCGTACCAAAGTTAATAGATTTTCAGAGCAACAACAATGGCAACAAAAAATTTGAGAGATTCAGAAGAAAGAGAGAGAAAGAGATTGAGAGATTCCAATTATATGGGCACTCTCTTGTAAGCTTTTTTTTTTTTTTTTAGATCGAATTTTCTGAATATAGTAGATTAATAATTACGAAGAATCATAACATTTAATGATGATGATTAAGATTTTAATTGTAAGTTGATCTAATTAAGAAAGTATGTGTAAGTAAACTTTTTAAAACAAGAATTGTTTAATTTTGTGTTACAGCAAAAATACAGTCATGAAAGAAGTAGCGGAGAGGAGAATAATTGCAAATTCGTGGTGCACTTTTACTTTTTGTGCATTTATTAAATTGGTCTCTTTGTCTCTTGGTCTCTTTATTTTATTATTTTCTTGAAATTCACTAGAACAAAAGGTTATTTTTATTATATTATTAATTTGTATGATTATGTTGTTGTTGGTGAGCAATAACAATCCACTACTATAAAAGAAAACCTAATTTTCGTGTTTATGGGGTAAGCATATTATAAAATAATTTATTTTATACGTGTTAGGTTAAGTAATACATTTATGCAATTTGAGTACTACATAGAATTATGTAACTCAATTATACTTTCACACGTATTTAATTATATTAAATGTACTTAGAAAAGATCATTACATCTACTATTTTAAAAGAAATAAATTGTCCTTGTTACGATAATGAAAGTCATTATAAATTAAAGATAAAAGAGGAAAAAATGAAACAAATCAGGCAACAAAACGTCAAAGCAATCGTTTTCTTATTATGTCGCATTAACAAATATTGCAAGAAAACAAATCTAAGTACCTTCACTTTTCAATTAAACAAACATTATTACAAATTTATAACACAACAAACTGATATTTATTCGTAAATAATATTCAAAAATCAACAAAATATATAAAATTCTAATTAGGACATGGATCGAACTTGGGGTTGATGTCTTGATCAGAAGATAAATTAATGAGAACAATCTTTGTTCAAGCTCTTTAAAATCTTTGTACCAGATTGTCTACAAACTGTCTACTTGCACAACTTCATCGATGATTTCTTGTCTAGCTCGTAAAGAAACTCGGTTATTAGAATTTTGAGGCCTAAGTTGCTATAGTCAATAATTTGATGCCTCGACTTGTATATCTCATACATAAAGAGAATAATTCTATTAGTTTGTTTTCCACTCAAGTTCTCGCAAATCTTCTCATTTAGTCTCCAAATATGTAATTTGTTAATACGAAGCTTCCCTTTTTTCTCTGTATGTTTTATTTCATTCCTTGCAATGGATACCATAACTCAAATTTGTAGTCATTCAAAGAAATAATATAATAACAATGATTACGTATCATAAGCTTTTAACTCAAAATCAAAATTGGTAGTGACTGAAAAAGTAACGAAGGGTTTCATAGTCAGGTATGTGTTTCAGAACACCATCCACTCCATTTGGCGAGAAAGAAATGACAGGAGGCACGGCGAACAACCTTCACCGACAGAGAAGATAGTGAAGTTGATAGACAAGAACCTCAGAAACCGTTTGAGCACAATAAGAAGAGGGGAGATGAAAGATATGCAGACGGACTTTAAATGTGGTTTGCATCTAGACAACATTAGGGATAAAATCACTATATAGTTGTTTTCAAAAAGTTTGCAGTCATCTGTAAAAACGTTTATTTTTCTTCTGAATATAATTTAACATTAGATTCAAAAAAAAAAAAAAACTCATGAACTATATACTTGTTTAAAACTATTATAACTTCCAATGTGAAATATTAATTTAACATTCTAGTAGACCTCCATGAAATGAAGGCATGACTAAAACAATATTTTTTCGGAGATATCACAACAAGATCATTAAAATGTGAGAGACCGTTAGTGGAAAATCATATCAATCGTCTTTAATGACCATGCTGACATTTTGCTTAGATACAAATTCTTTAAGGTTTTAAATTAGAATTATTGAACCGTTGATTTCTCACTGCAAGGTTGTCCACAAATCACAACCGTCACCATTGCTTTGATACCGCAAGAAACTTGTGGAAACAAAGATATTGCCAAAAATTGCAATCCATATCATATAAGTCAGAGCTCGGGCTTAACAACTTAAGCAACGACCATATGCAAAGTCATACAAATCTTGCATATCATATAACAAAATATTCCATCTAGCTTTTTAAGTGGAAATAAGTCAAAAGATCTAACTTTAGTTACTGTATGAATATGTAACATCCGTTGGGGTTTTACTTCTTTTTTTGTCGTGAGTTTTACTTTTTAAAATTGTTCCCTTTTTGAAAATTTTGTTTAATTTCCATTATTGTCAAGATTATTTTAGGTGGTTTAAGGTTCAATTCAATTTTTAGATCATATACTTGTCCAATTCGGTTTAGATCGGTTAACTTAAACCAATTATACGCCTAGATAATGGCAATACAAGTTGATTACACGTGCAGGTTTAAAAGTTGAGGCTATTTTTGTAACTTTCTATTGAGAGGATTTTTAATAAGTTTACCCCTCACTCCCTTGTTCACGAACCCGTAACCCTAGCCGCCTTCGAAATTTCCCAATTGTTTTTTCCAACAAATTTTCAAACAAATTCGCTCAGATCCTCTTCTTCTCAGAGATCAACCTTCAAATCAATTGTAATTTTCTTGTTTCTTGTAATTTTATCTTTCGATTGATACCTCTTTTGATATCATCCTTCGATATTGTCAAATCTAGGGTTTTTTTCAATCGAGTTCTTGATTTTGATCACAAATCGACAGATCTGTTTAGGCGTTTTTCTGGGTATCGATTCTTTTCAACATCCATGCCTTAATTTCACGTTTTCCCCAATTTTATTTACCCTAATTTTTCTGTGTTCATCAGATCTGCAAATTGATTTAGGGCTTTTGTTCCTCGTACCGTAAAATTCATTGATTGTTTGAATTTGGACTCTTGATTTCATGTTTTTAGCCGTGAATTGAAAAATCTAGGGTTAGGTTTTCGAATTTGGGGATTTTCTAAATAATAATTGGGGAAAACTTATTTCTTTACAAAGTTTGACTTTTTGACTGTAAATTAAAATTACACTAATACCCATATATACCTAAAAACATCAAAATCAATCATCGTTTGCTTCTGAATATGGAATTGTCCATATGTAAATTATCAAACTTTAATGTGACTAAAATTAACTTTGGTTTTGACCAATCAGGTTGTTAAAAAATGGGATTAAAGCGACCTTATGATGCTGAAGAGATGCAAGAGTGCAATGCTAAGCATGCAAGACAGCTTAGTTATAACAACCATAACCAATTTGACGAAGCTATTCCATATCATCATGTTTCTATGGACAAGAAGACAAGTGTTTTAGGTACAATGAAACCTTTAAAATGTTATAAATTCATATACTCTGTTATGGCAAGTTTTTGAGGGATTAACTTTGGACGTCTCTTGTTGCAGTGGAGGATCTGAATGGTCTGTCTGAGAATCCTACATGGGCTAATGTTGACAAGGGTTTTGAAACAACTGATTTGTGTCAGGATGATTCTCAGTCTGGAGGGACGACTCAGTCAGATCTTTCTCATCAATCTTCTGGTTCAGATTACACCTGGAGACCACTTTCTCCAGTGGAAGATGTCTATTCTTGTCTGATGAATCAACCTCCTAGGAAACAAGTTCTTGTTGGGTCTAATCATCAGGCGGATATTCCTGAATTCGTCAAGGAAGAGGTTCTTGATCAGTCAGAGACTCGAACTAAGGACGACTTAGAAGGGAAGCTGATGGGAAAGTGCATAATACCAATGTCTGACTCTGACCTTTTTGGAACCGGTCAACGAAGAAAGGAATGTCTTTGCCCGGATAAAGGCTCGATTAGATGTGTGCGGCGACATATCCTGGAAGCTAGAGAGAGCCTGATTGAAACCATTGGATATGAGAGGTTTATGGAGCTAGGGTTCTGTGAAATGGGGGAGGAAGTTGCAAGCTTATGGACCGAAGACGAAGAAGATCTCTTTCACAAGGTTGTATACTCCAATCCTTTCTCAGTGGGTCGTGACTTCTGGAAGCAATTAAAGGCAATGTTTCCTTCAAGAACTGTGAAGGACTTGGTTAGCTACTACTTCAATGTCTTCATCTTGCGGAGACGGGGTACTCAGAATCGGTTCAAATCCCTAGACGTCGATAGTGATGATGACGAGTGGCAAGTAGAGTACAACATCTTTTACAGCACCAAATCTTTAGATGAGGAAGACAACAATGGAAATCGCTCCTCACATGAAGATAACGAGGAAGAAGAAACGAACAGCAGTGATGATGATGATGAAGAAGAAGAAGAAGAAGACAACTCACCAAGTAACGATGCTCATTGTGTATATATGGATAAGGCTTCAAGAGACGGTGTTGGTGAGGAGTTAAATGTGGAAGACGACTCATGTATGTCCTTCGAGTTACAAGACTCCAACTTGATCTTCACTCACAGCCCAATTGAAAACAGAGAGTGCCACAGATCTGGTGATGATTCGTATTCATTTGATGATCAGAGATTCACATCAGATTGTTGGAACAAGAACAACGATCTTCTACCAACTTCAAACATCATTGAGGAGATATTTGGTCAAGATGATTGGGACGATAATGATGATGATAACTTCAAGGGGAAGTAAATGAAAAGCTTTCTTTCTTCTTCCATAGATTTCTGCAGATTTTTTTTTTTCTTAAGTGAATTATTTAAAGAAGCAGAAGTTTGAAAGTTTCCACTTTGGGAGTTTTTTTGTTGGTTTAGGTTGAAGAAGAAGGGACTTCCTGATTGATTTGACTATGTAAAAAAGCTATTAAAATCCAGGAACCTTTTTTTCTATTTTTTTTTTTTGAGTCCTCAAGATCTCAATGTACATTATTTTGGTGTAAAATGAAAAAAAAAAAATGCTAAGTTATCCGACATCGAAATAGGAAAAAGGAAAAAGTTAAATACACAAATAAGGCTATCTCGTTAATCTCGTCAATGTCATTCCTGGAAAAGAATATGAGGAAGAAGATGAAGCTGTCGCCGACGTTGCAATCGACCTCAAATCCCTCACTTCCCGATGATGTGCTATTGAGCATCTTTGCACGCGTCTCAAGATTGTACTATCCGACTCTATATCTCGTCTCCAAGAGCTTTAGAACTCTCCTAGCTTCACCGGAGCTATACAAGGTTCGGTCACTCTTAGGCAACACCGAGATTTGTCTTTATGTGTGTTCACGGTTCCAAGATCCTCATCATACGAACACTAGCTGGTTCACCCTCTGTCGGAAACCTGATCAAACCCTAACCAATGGCACCATTAAGAAGTCAAGTGGGTATGTTTTGGCTAGAGTCCCAAATTTACATTCTCCTCCTTTGCACTCTTCGAGTCTTGTGGCGGTTGGTTCTAACATTTATAACATTGCAGGATCCTGCTACCTAGAGTCTTCCTCAAGCGTCTCGGTTCTGGATTGTCGGTCTCACACGTGGCGCGAGGCTCCAAGCTTGCGGGAGGGGCTATGTTCGGTTTCTGCTAGTGTCATTGATCGAAAGATATACGTAGCAGGACGTTCCATAGATAGTGATAATAACTCAAAGAATTCGGTCGAGGTGTTCGACACTGAAACACAAATTTGGGATCCGGAGGCCATTACTTGCAGCGAGACACAAGGCGATTTTTACGAATGCAAAACCACATGTATTGACAGAAAGTTCCATGTGGTGACTCTCGGTATAAAAGAGGCGGTTGCTTACAATTCCAAGAAAGGTAGATGGGACAGGTTTAGACGAAAAATAGATCAATATAAGTTTTCAGCTTATTGCGAGATAAAGAATGTTTTGTACTCTGGTACTCATGGAATGTTCAGATGGTATGACTCTAAGGCAAGTAGGTGGAGAGATTTGAAAGGTTTGGAAGGACTACCTAAGTTCGGTTCTGGTGCGAATATTAAATTGGCTGGTTATGGTGGAAAGATAGCGGTTTTGTGGGAGGAGGATTTGCCTTCTTGTGGACCTGATAGCGGCTATAAGAAGATGATTCGGTGTGCAGAGATAGCTCTTGAAAGGCGCAAAAGTCGTGAAATTTGGGGGATTATTGAGTGGATTGGTGATGTGCTTACCGTCCCTGTAGGATATGTTGTTTTGGAGAAGGTTCTTGCTGTTACTCTTTGATGAATGCGTCACAAGCCTTGAATGTGTTTTCTTTTGGTAGTATCATTTTTATTTGGAATGCGTATGTTCTTTTGGTGTGTATGCAACTATTGATGAATAAGTCTGTCTATTGTTTCACTTCTAATCATTTGATGTCACTCAAAATGTCTTTGAAGCAAATAAAAGAAATTTTCTATTTGAAAGAAATACGAACACTAACATACTGAAAGCAAGATCACAAATTAACACTATACAAATCTTTTCGATGGTCCCTGGTAAGATAAGAATGATATACAAATCTGTGTGGGAAACAAAACAAACAACAACAAATCAGTTGAATCATGTCTCCTCGTTTTTCACTTGGATCCAACTACCATTAGATGATCCAACTCCTGATTCTTTCTTTTTACGACTAAAAAAACCGACAAAATACCCCAAAATCACTCCCACAACCATCACACTTGCTCCTTCAATGTACCACAAGACTGCAAAGTCAGATTCAGATCCAAAGTTTGAGTCTTTACCATCATCACTACCGCTAATAACTTCCCCTGAAGCCAAAATCTCAACAACATCATGAACTTCTCCGTCGTGGTTTCCCACATACGAAAGAGTGAGTCTTTCTTTATTAGCAACCAAACGAGTGTACCCAAACTCGCCTCCGCGGTACATTGAGTTAGCAGGCTGAGGAAAGATCGGGACATCCTGGTGATTAGGTCTCGGTTCCCAAATAGGCTGTGTGTCTTTTCCAGCCATACCAATCACAAGATGAACAGGGTTTCCTTGCCAACGTTCACCACAAGTATTGTTACTAATCGGGCAAAACCTTTCGTATCTATGTACATGTCCCCATAAAGCAACAGTCACATTGTTCTTCACAAACAACGGTTCCAAATGCTCGATCATCCTCTGTCTTATCGCAGCGTCTCTTATCTTCCTACTTGTAGTGTACATCGGTCTATGCCCTTGTACAACAACAAACGGTGTCTTGCTCCTATTAACAGACTCTAAATCACTCTTCAAAAAACTATACTGCTTCCCTCCTTTAAGAAAATCCGTCTCTGTCGAAATATAAACGAAATGAACCGAACCCATATCATAAGAATAGTAAAGGTTCCGACTTTGAGGTCCCTTAACCATACCCGTAGCTTCTGATGAATTACCAGGCATGTTAAACTTAACACTATACGGTACACCACATTCACCACCACTATCTTTACCATAAACATAAGCAGCCCAATCTGGCTTCCAAGGCTGCATAGGCCAATCATACTCATGGTTACCAATACAAACATGGTAAGGCACTCTAGAAGCAATAGGCTCAATCTGAGCAAAGAACTCATCCCAAATCCACGAGTAACCTCGCGCGTAACTTATATCTCCGATGTGTGATACAATCGCAGGCTTATCATCACCTAAAGCTTCAATGTCTCTTAAAATCCATTTGACAGTTGATAAACTTTCTTCTTCTCCACGGATAAATGTTCTATAAGGTGTAGAACATCCCATATCTCCAAACATGAAAGCTAATGTTTCTTCTGAATTCTCATTTCTTGAAACAAAACTATGAATCTCACTCCATCCTTTCAAATCACTTCCAACCTAATTGATAACAGGAAAAAGTCAACATTTTGATTCTGAAAAACCCTAAAGATTCAAACTTTAAGGGTTTTGATTCTTACCTGATAATAATACTTAAGCCCTTGTTTCAGATTCTTCATCACGGAATCAAATATCCAACCTGGATCTCTCCATCCGATTGTAGAATTCGCCGGCGCGTGACACATATGTTCTCTCTCATACCTAACTCCACGCGCCACCGCGATGTTATCGAGTTTCTCTTTAACCTCGCCGTATCGAGCAAATCGTTCTTCTCCATCTCCGGTTACGAACATCACTCTCATCTCGTTGATATTATCTGTGTAACTTAAATGAATCTGCTCCGGTCGGTTAACGGCGAACCGGAAATTTAACTGGTTTGATTCGGTTAATAGATGTCGAGTTCCGGGTAAAGGATTGTGATCATGGTCTTGGTGTTTCGGGTTGATTTCGGATTGGGTCCAACGGAAGATCCGGAAAGTGTAATTTGATCGGAGATTGGTTAAGGGAAGTGAAATTGAACCCGACCCGGATTTCCAATTGGGTGAATCGGAGAGGATTTTGTAGCCGATGAAGTGATCGTGAGGAGAGTCCGGTGGTGAGTAGATTCCTAACCAATCGAGATCGGACGGTGATTCGACGCCGGACCATTTGATCACGACTATGTCGCCGGTTCGGTTTAAGGTTTGAGGAGAGATTGAAATTGTGACTTTGGAATAAACAGAGGTGATTAAGAGGAAGAAGAAGACGAGAGAGTAAACGGCGATCATGATTTACGGTGGTTGATGCGGCGGAGGACGGTGGTTAGTCAAAAGTCAACGTTTGTTTTATCAGTTTTAGTTGGTTTGGTTTGTATTTGGGTTTTACTGATAAATTTAGAAGAGTTTTTGAGTGATTATGAAGTCATTATTTTGTTTGAAACCAAACCTGATTTATGACTTTTCACCATCAAAAGAATATGCTATTTAGAAATAAAATAAAACAAAACATTATGGAATTAATTATTTTTCCAAATTTACAAGTTTCATTGTCAAATCAAACATGATTTATTTCTTTCTTTTTTTCTTGCCATGAACTTGGCATTAATTTGTTAAGGTATATATGTAGGATATGCTTAATGCTTTGTCTTTGTATATATAAATGTGTAATCAAAAGCACAAAATCCCTCTATGACCAAAAAAAAAAACACACAGAATCTCACAAGTTTTAGAGTATGAATAATAATTTTAGTAAGGTGAAATAAAGGAACAGGGGAGATTCAAAGGGGTGACCTGAGAACACAAACTCAATGGTTTCAATGAAAATGTAAAGAAATCATAGGATCTGTGTTCTCATGACACTCCTTTGAGATTTCACCTCCTGTTGTTCTTCTCTTTTTCTTCATACTTTACTTCCACAAATAAGTTCTACTACATAAGTTTCTCTATGTATAAAAATATTTATACAGTTTCTTCTTCTTGGTCTTTAGATTTTTGTTCACTTCTGTTCTGTCATAATAATGTGGTCATCTTGTTGACAAAAAATTAGTAAGTGTGGTGAAAATGAGCACATCCTTTTCTTCACACACGACATCGTTTCTATGGAATGATTCAAACAATGGGCTGAAAACGTATCTATCAATGGGCTAGTAATGAGCCCATCTGTGCTCTCTTCTAGTAGGCCCATTTAAAACTCATTTGAATAGTTTAATTTTTTTTTTTTTTTGAATAGTTTAATTACCCTGCCGACAAAATCATAAATGGTCAAGAGTTGGATAGACTAGGGATGTGGCATGAGGACCCATTATTCCGTGCCACACATCAATGCGTCAACCAATCCATAATTTAAGCGAAGTAAATACACCAGAATATTACCGCTCTAGACTCAATATTTATGATCAAGAATCGAAGATTATACTAGTAGCATTTATGTAGGAAAATATACAAAGTTAGAAGTATTAATCAACCAATAAAAGTAAATGTATGATCAAGATTCAAGAATCAAGATAATAATTTATCAAGACCGGTTCTGATGGTCGAGCTTTGCGAAATGGTCAAAATGTAATCAAGCATTTTTTAACGTAGGGAAGGTACACAATGACAAAATGTAAAATTCACCAACTAAAGTCGAAAAGTAGATCTATGGCGTAAGAATCGTGACTATAAATATCCCATTAACGAGTGGATAAAGAAAAAGGAGACCAAAACAAGTGGACAAATAAAGTTTCCCGAAATTCAATAAATATTATCATCCCCCGGATAAGTTGTTTGTGTTATTGTACGTTTTCCAAATTCAAGACAAGAAAAAACTTTTTTCTTTGAGACAAAAGAAACATGGATTTCTTCACCGATCAAGTAAAGAAGAAATTCTCCGACAAGAAACCGGAGAGCTCTGATCCGGAGCCAAACCACAACAAAAACAAACCCGGTCACACCGATCCAACAACACATAAACCGGTTTCCAACACCGATCCATCAACACATTCCAACACCGATCAATCAACACATAGGCCAGCTTCGAACGCCGAGCTCATGGCTAGTGCCAAGATCGTAGCCGAAGCAGCTCAAGCCGCTGCTCGTAACGAGTCAGACAAGCTTGACAAAGCTAAAGTCGCCGGAGCCACTGCTGATATCCTTGACGCCGCTTCTAGATATGGTAAGCTCGATGAAAAGAGCGGTGTTGGTCAGTATCTTGAAAAGGCTGAACAATATCTCCACAAGTACGAAACTTCCCACTCTCACTCCTCCACCGGTGGAAGCCACGGTAGCCAAGGCGGTGTTGGCAGCGGTGGAAGCCATGGTGGTGTCAGCGGTGGAGCTGGAGCACCGGCGGCTAAGAAAGAAGATGAGAAGAAGTCCGGAGGTGGCCATGGGTTTGGAGATTATGCTAAGATGGCTCAAGGTTTTATGAAGTGATTAATGTTTTAATTATTAAAAAATAATTATGTTAGTTATTTATCTTCTTTAATTACTTTTTAGTAAGCTGTTGTTTTCTGAATTATTAACTGTTGAATTTGTCATTTGTGTATGATGGAGGAACATTATGATGTTAAAGATCATGTATCATGTTGACTACCTCTAAGTGGTTCTTTAGTTCTTACAAAAGTAAAAAACAACTCTTTGTCTAATCAGAAGTTCAGAACTCTAATTGGAAGTTATCAATTCTGATAAATCAAATTAAAATATACTTTTAAATAAAAATACTATTTTTTTTAAAGAAATATCCTAAAATAGCATTAAAACAAATTTTATGGATAATTATATCACAAATTCCATAAATTTTTAAAGTTGGCATTACACAATAACTATTTATTTTTATCTAATTATGTAAAATAATAAAATTAATTATACTTTGAAATCACGATTATAATACGATGTTTTGAAGCGTCAATTAAATGCTTTTTTGGTCTTTTTAATTTTAAATTTGTGTTATTTTTGAAATTTTGCAAATTATGTATTAAATTTTTAAATAAAATTTATTTTTATGACATTTTGTGAGAATTGCCCAAAATTGAATTATTATTAGATGTGTTATTCGGACAAGAAATAGTATGTTTAAAAGGCCCATAAACGAGCCCACTATGCGAGTCCATTGGTTTTTCTTTATTTAATCACATTTAGGTGTCGTCCTTATCTTTTATACACTTTTTAACCAATTTATTCCGAATTCTTCTAACTTGGGAAAAAAGTTTGAACGACAATGGAAATCGATGCTCCGAAGCAACAAGAGTCGAAGCAGATCAGAGACGAAGAGCTATTCAAAGCAGCGGAATGGGGTGATTCATCGTTGTTCATGTCATTATCTCAAGAACAGCTCTCTAAATCTCTCAATTTCACAAACGAAGATGGTCGCTCTCTCCTCCATGTCGCTGCTTCCTTCGGTCATTCTCAAGTTTGTTCCTTTCTCTTTACCAAATTATCTCTTTGTTTAGGTTTATAGAGAATCCGAGTAGTCTCAAGTACTAATCTCTAATTTGATACAAGCTTAACCTCTTTAGTTACTTACTATAGCTGCATAATTTGGTTTTTGAGTCTGGCTTTGAAAACCACATGAATCTGTTTTGTTTATTAGCTATTTGGGTTCTTGAGATTGGTGGGTTTTAGTAAATGTTTATGGATGTGTGATTTGCAGATAGTTAAGTTGATAACAAGTTCAGATGAAGCAAAGACTGTAATCAATAGCAAGGATGATGAAGGTTGGGCTCCTTTGCATTCTGCTGCTAGCAGCGGTAATGCTGAGCTCGTTGAGTTGCTTTTGACCAGAGGTATGTTACATAATCTTTGTGTGTTTTATTGTTGTTGAAAGTGGTAAAATCTTGATTTGCTATCATAAAGGTGTCATCTTTCTCAGTCCTGTGTAGTTGATCTCTGAATATCTAATAGTCCATGGGAATTGGGCATATAAGTTCCTATTGTGAAGTGGATTTTTGTGTTGCAGTGATTAGCTCTAGTTTCAATTCATTACATGTATGAGAAGATGGATACATTTGATGACGTTTAACTTGTGTTTAGGTGCTGATGTCAATGCCAAAAACAACGGTGGTCGCACTGCTCTTCACTATGCTGCTAGCAAAGGCTGGTTGGAGATTGCTCAGCTTTTATTAACACACGGTGCAAAGATTAACATCACAGACAAGGTTTTGTAGCTTCTTAATGTTTTTTTGCTTGTGGATCATTAACTTGTGTCAACACATAAACAAACCTTTTTTGTGACTTTCAGGTTGGTTGTACGCCGCTTCATAGAGCAGCAAGCGTGGGAAAGTTAGAAGTTTGTGAATTTCTTATTGAAGAAGGTGCAGAGATCGACGCTACGGATAAAATGGGCCAAACTGCACTCATGCATTCAGTCATCTGCGATGACAAACAGGTAAATTTCTATCTAATCGGCCTTAAAGCAACATCTCTTTGAGGTTAAAAGTTTTCTAAATTTTGAGCTTCTCTTGTGTGTTTCCATGGATCAGGTTGCGTTCCTGCTTATAAGACATGGTGCAGATGTGGATGTAGAAGACAAAGAAGGTTACACTGTTCTAGGCCGAGCTACCAACGAATTCCGACCTGCACTTATCGATGCTGCAAAGGCCATGCTTGAAGGATAAAATGACTCTGAATTGCTTTAAAACTCACGAGTCTTGTTTTGTTTAAACTCTTTGTTCTTTCAATATCAGGAAATAATAAAAGGATTGTTCTTTTATTTATATAAAATTCTTATAAAAGGATTGTAAAATTCTTTATAGCCCCATTAGATAGGCCCGTTTCGAATCCCTATATTAAACCCTAAAGGGCAACGGAGGGCGACGTTGAAAAGAGAAACCCTAAAGGGCGACAATGGAGTTCTGGGGTAAGAGCTATTCATTCTTAGCATATTTCGATTCTGCCTTCATTCTTAACTGCAAATATCTGCTGAATCATTCGTTAATTTAGTCTTTAAATATTAAAAGATGTTGATTTCCTATCCTAATTTCATTATTAGAAGTGAAAGTGAAGGCAAGGGAGTCTTTGAAAGTGGAGCCTGGATTCCGCAGGGTCATCCTTTGTCAGGTAATAATTTTCAAACTCCTTAGGATCTTTATGAAAGCATACTCAAATTTTGTTTTCTCTATGTAGGCCTTTTTCGGTAAAGATGTCCGTAAAGGTATAAACGATGGTCCGGTGTACTTGTATGCCAAGGTTAATGGCAAGAAATACGTTTTGGCAATTCTTTCCCGAAAGCATTTTCCTCTCATTACCTTTGATCTCATCATGGAGAAAGATTTTGTGCTTTCCCACTCCATGGATGAAGGAGTCATCCATTTAACTGGCTACAAAACTCCACCTGGATACAAAACTCCGGAGGTGGACTGCACTGTGGAAGAGGAGGAGGTTGAAAGTAGGTATGTGAAGTCTAAAACGACGGTGTGGTGGGACATAGAGAGGTGTCCGCTTCCCCATGTTTATGATGCTTCCCTTGTCGGTCCGTGTATAGATCGGGCGTTGCAGTATTTAGGCTACCTTGGTCCAATTTCCATCACTGCCATTGGCAACCTAAAACACACCCCTGATCACGTCTTGCGAGCACTATCTTCCTCTGGGATCCTTGTTAAACACGTCCCAAACGGTTAATCTTCTTATCTCTTTTCTATAATTCAAACTGTAGCTTAATCTTGTGTTGCGATTGAGTTGCTTTCCTTTTACTAAAACAGGTACCTCGAGCATTTTTGCTCAATTGTTTGCTTGGAAATTACAAAGTCGACCTCCGGCTACGTTTATGCTCATATCCGATTCCCCTGTACGGTCCGATTTGCATCACAGTCTTGAATCCCTAGAAGAGAAAGGATACAACATCCTTGTTGTATATCGCCATAAACCCCAGCCTGGAATGATCACTTCTTTTCAATGGTTGCAATGGGAAAGCTTACTGGCAAATACTTGTAATACACAGCTGACAAGAAAAAGGCAGCTTCTTCAAGAATCTGCCCGTTTTTCTTGCACACTATGCCATGTAGCTTTCCAAAGCCGTAAATATTTCGAAACTCATCTTAAGGGTGAAAAACATGAAATGAATGTAACGCATCCTTTTGCCTCCTCTCTTCTTCTTTTATCATCTTATCTACACCATTCAAAGAAAATATCTAATTTGACTGCAGGAATATTTACTTGGGCCTGATTCCCCCTTTCTGGAGTTAAATATTGCTACCACGATGACGGAGCAATTAAAGGCAAGTAATTTGATTGCTCTGAAACGATTGTGCAAGTTTTTCTTTTTATTATTTTTATTTTTATAATAATTATGCGAAAACACTGTAGACAACGTTGGAGAATGTGGTTGTTAATCCTGGAGCCGATTCTTCCCAATACAAGGGGGTGGTGTGGTGGGACATCGACAGATGTCCGGTTCCCAATGGTTATGATGCTTCTTTAGTTGGTCCGCGTATGTTGCAGAGTTTTGGGTCCTATGATCCTCTTACCATCATTGCCATTGGCAGCCTAAGATACACCTCTTCTCACGTCATGCGAGCGATCTCTTCCAGTGGAATAGTTTCTAAACATGTCCCATTTGGTTAATCTTCTTTTATCTCTTTCTTTCTACATATTAGTGTTTAGATTTGACTGCGGTTTTATTATTATTATTCATAAGCTAGGGTTTGGATTCAATTGGCAGTATTTGAGTTGCTTTCCTTTTGACTGAAGCAGGTGGCCCAAGCATTATTGAAGATGTGTTAACTTGGGCAAATACTAATCCACCTCCGGCTAAGATAATCCTTGTAACCAGTTCCTCTTTAATGGAATGCATGTCTCCCGCTCTTTATTCCCTTAAAGAGAAAGGATACAACATCCTTCTGGCATGTACACAAACTCTGCCTGAAGGTCTTAACCGTTATGTTAATTGGCGCTGGGAAGACTTACTGGCAGGTGTTTGTCCTCTTTGTCCCTGTTTTCTGAGCTAATTGTAGTTTTGTTTCTCAACTCTTTCTATTTCTTTTCTCCACCATATGTAATAGTTCCTTTAGGTAATAGACCCGAGACAAGAAGACAGAAGGATGAATTATCTAGCTGTTTTATTTGCAAAACCTGTGATTTATCTTACGAAAGCTATGAAAGTTTCGACATTCATATGGGAGGAGAAGAACATGCAATGCGAGTAAGCATCCTTACCTCCTCTCTCTGCTTGTGATTGAACAACCTCTTATACTTACTTGATGGTTTGTCAAACAGGCATTTAGAATTGGCTACTACTACCTGAATCAGGAACCTGGATCCGGGACTCGTTATTCCCCGGCAGTGAAGAAGCTATCAAAGGAAGGTCTAAATATCTCAAGTTTCTTAACTAAATTAATGAGTGAGTTTATAAAATCAAAGTTGAATAAACAAGTAGATGAAGCCGGCGTTGTTGGTTCTGACAGTCTGACCACCGCCACGGTGAAGAAGCAATCAAAGGCAAGTTTTTAATATATCTCAAAAATAATATCTGATTTCTTTGAATGCATACAGTTTGAGTTGCTGACTTTGGTTTGATGCTAAAACGTTGCAGAGAAAGTTGAAGAAGAGGCGTATCAAATGAGAGCATCTCGAAGAAGAAGAAGAAGAGTACATGGCACATGCACGTGGTGTGTTGTTGTTCTTCTCTATGGCACCATTTCAGATCGTGAATGGTTTCTTCTCCCTTATAATAAGTTCATGTTCTTCTTTTGAAATTTTCTCAAAAAAAATCTTCAAATAAGCTTTAATTGCTCTTTTCCTCAACTTAGTAAGCATTGGACACTTGAGAACAAGTGAGGCAAAATGTTTTTTTTTTTTAAGAATTAAAAAGTATATATATCCCTTCTTATCTCTTAAGAAGTCACTTACCCTCCTCACAAAAAATCTAAAGGCAAAATGATGCAAACCAAAATCTCTTCCTTCTCTCGACCAAGCTTCAGTCTCCATGAACCAAGAGTAGTTCATCATCCTCGTATCTCCATGGCTATATGCTCATCATCATCATCATCATCATCATCATCCTCACCGTTTCACCATCTTCTCTGCAAGTCCACCTTCCCTCTCGCTGCCTCACTCACCCTTCTCCTCTCTCCTTGTACCGGTAACTACGCTACTACTCAATAATTTTCCTGTGATTCAATGTATATGCGTATCATCATCATCATCATCATATGTATATGTGTGGATCTTCCTCAGCTGAAGCAGGCTTAATGTCGGGATCTCCCGGTATAGAATCAGTTCCAGGTCCTGAATTACCAAAAATCGAATTCCTTGACCGTTTCAATGGTACCAATCTTTCAAATTCTTGAATTCTAGAACAAGAAGTGTATTGTCTCCTTTAAAGAAGAAAGATTCTTAATTGCAGCAAAGAACCAGAAGTTCTACGCTGAGAACGATGCCAGATTCAAAGAATCTCCACTTCTCAAGAAACTACTTGAGAATTCCAAACTCAATAAAGAAAAGTAAGTTACTTTACACACACCCATTTGGTCTTTTTAGTGTTATAGAGCCAAAGTTGTGTGGAAGCTGCAAATCTTGAAACTCTGTTTTCAAAATCTTGAAACATGGACATGTGTTACATTGGTTTTGTGTTGTGTTTTGTTTAGGAATGAAAGAGAGATTCAAGACAAATATTGTCTAAGAGGAGCAGAATGGGGAGTAGGAGATTGTTCAACCACAGGAATGACAGATGAAGAGAAGGAGAAATTCATCACAATGTTGAAAAAGAAGACTGGTGTTGAATAAAAAACTTTGAATCACATAATTGTATTTTTGCAAGAATGGCTTTAGAGAGAATCTATGCTAATTGTTAAAGTTATCAATCCAAATCCAAATGGTTACAAAACAAAACACGACGAAACAACAAAAATACGTGTACAAACGGTTTTATCGATCTGCGGTTTTGATATCGAGAAGAGAAAGTGTAGCAATCTCATTCATAACCAATGATTTGTCAGTTTCAAAACCTACATCTTCTTTCTCAGCTTTCAAATCAGCAAACAAACGAAGAATCTTGGTTCGATTCGCCACGAGAATCGCCACAATGTCCTCTGGTTTGTTCTCGTTCGCCACAAAGAGCTTGAAGATATGAAAAGCTTCTAACTGAATGTTCTTGGTTGGTTCTCTTAAAAGATTCATCATGATTCTCAAATTATCCAAACTGCTCACATACTTAACCATCACACCTGAATTCGAACGATCCATCAACACATCTCCAAGCAATTTCGAAGCTTGTCTCTTCGTAAAGTAGCTTCCTTTCTCCAACAACTTCGTGTTATACTCTGCGAAAAACCATTCGTAGTTCTTGGCAAGATACTCAGCTACAGTCGATTTATGCCTCGTCAAAAGCTCCCTAAAGATTTTGCTAGCATCCGTAGCTACATCGAAATACGGAAGCTGAACATATTCGAAAAACTTCTCCAAATTCTTCGATTCGAGTATGTACTTGGCAACAACCTGATGCCGCACACATTCTTTAAGCATTCCTGTATAATGCAACGCCAACTCGTGATCATGATCGATTCCTTCGACTAACGAATCGATCACATCTAAATTCGATTCGAGATATTCAGAAGCAACGAGTCGAGATTCGACTTGTTGCTTCTGCAAATTCGCAACGATCTGTGTCGCGTCTTTTCTTGCTTCTAGATCAAGTTTTGGAATAGATTTGATCAAAGGACGAAGCGTATCTTCTCGAAAAAACTCTTGAGTTAACATAAGACAAGCTTCAGGAACAGGCTCAGCTTCACTATTACCATAAAGAATCGATTTCAAATCACTAATGTTTCGACACAATTCCGCACAAATCCCTAACCTTTTCGAGTTTCTCGAATCGATTTCTTCTTCGGATTCGGCTAAAACAATGAGATCTCGAGTCTGACGAACGATTTCACCAGGAAGACGTGATTTGTTCTTGAAGAGACCTTTCATTCTCGTGCTTCCGCCATGGTTTCCGAGGTTTCCGCTTAAACTGCTAAGCTTCCCGCTAAATGTAATGTTGATGGAATCATCATCGGTGGATCCGACGCGTAGATGGCTCCGTGTACGGTGGTGCTTTGACGACGGAGCTGAATTGGAGCCTCCGTGTCGTTTAGCACCACCGATTCTGGAGACACACGCACCTATGTTTCTCCTTTTTTTGACCTCAAAACAAAATAAATAAAAACAGAGCAAAAACAAATCTATGTCTCTCTCTGTGTCTTTTTTCTAGGGTTTGTTCAAAAGCTTTTTCAGGGGTTTCGTTGTGAAATCCAAAATGTTGTTTCTCTCAAATCTTCTTCTTTGAAGAAAAGAAGAAGAAAGAGACAACAAACCTAAAAATGGGGTCTTTGATTGGCTAATTTTGCCGCGCTGAATTTTCGTTGTGGTTAGTTTGAAGAATCTTTGATGTTTGAAACATAATTAGATTTTCAAGCTTATTTTTATTATTCTGCATTCTTTTATTACTTCTTAGCGGTTATTATTATATGTGGATAAGATATATAACGGATTTGGTCAGATATAATCTAAACACAATTAGTTTATCTAACTCTATTTATTTATATGTTTTAAATAACTATCGACTTTTTCATATTTAAAATTTAGTTTTACAGTGAAAATTCAAAATTTTGATACGTACTAGCTAACGTTATTTTACATTTTTCAAAATTTTAATGGCATCACTCGAATCCAGTAGCATGTGAAAATATGCATCCAGTATTTGATGATGATGTTAACTCGCTCAAGTTAGTATTATATCTTTTTACTTATTATTTCATACTTTCAAAATTATTTTTAAATATATCTGATTTCATTTAAAATTTGGAATAAAATTTTTAATTCTTCATTGTTATTTTTTTCATCAGGTAGATATTTATAAAAGATAAGCCAAATTACAGTACCGACTAGTCGATTACCAAATTGTATCAAACTAATATATGAGATGTTGATAAATTTGAAAGTAAATTTTAATATACATCCAATCAATTGTTTCACTTGTAGATAAAATTCACACAGTAAACAAACACATAGAAAAATGTTATTTTGTTCCATACCATTTCATTTATATGTTATTTAATAGTACGAAATGTTCACAATCAACATCAAATATTCATTTTAACATTTTTGAGTAATTTTAAACTTTTTTTAAAATTTAGACTCCGTATATATATTAAAAGCTATATATTTTAGAAGTATCATAATTCTGAATCAATATTTTTGAGGAAATAGAAATCCAATAAAATAGACTAGGAGAAAAAAGTTCTTCAACAATAAGAAAGAAATAAGCATGTGTGGATGAGAGAATGAATCATTTGGACAAAGAATGCAACCACTTAACTTGCGCACAGTATATGTTATTGTTAGTTAATTTATTACATTTGATTATTTACCAGATTCATCCTTAATACACAATAGATTTTTTTAAAAATGATTTTGAGGAATAGGATTTATCTTAAACCTAATGTGAAGTTTTAGAGAGACACCTTGATTTTGATTTGAATTAAAAGTTTTAAGTACCTATAAGAAAGGATCCATATTACTCCTTCGACAATGTTGGCTATGAGTTCCAAGGTAATCCATCTACATCACGTTCATCCTGATTTGTTCTTTATATTTTCTCATTCCACCTCCTACACCGGAATCCAGATCATCTTAATCGTGAATTAAATGAATTAGTTAGCGAGCTAATACCAAACAAAATAATATAATAATAATAATTCAAAATTCAAAATTAAAAAATATTAAAATAAATCAATAACATATTTTGAAAGTGAAATATTAAGAACAAATCCAAATAAAACTAATCTTAAAAATACAAATTAAATAAAACCAACAGCTAACAATTCAATTAAATTAATCAAAGATAATAATGCAATGAACCAAAAATACACTTCATATGAGAGTATTGAGATGATTTTTTCAAAAAAAATAAATAAATAAATAAAATGATATATATGCTTTGGTTGTTGTATGAAGTAAAACCTCTATAAATTAATAATATTGGGACTATAATATTTACTAATTTATCCATAAATTTATTAATTTATAACATTTAAACATTAATTAATATTTATAAAGAAAAGTTAGTTTTTTAAATTTTAGAAAGAAATGAATTGAGAAAATTTTGTATAAATAAATTAGTGTTTTGGATGTTATAAGTAGTTTTGAACTTGAAATTTTAATAGTTAGACTCTTTCAACAATAAATTACAAATATTTTAGATGAATTCACTTATACAAACGATTGATTAATGGTTGACAAAAAAAAAAGAACAATAGATAAATGATCTAAGTTGTTGTATTTTTAACACCTATGAGACTGTAGATTAATAACCTCAGCTGTCGTATTTAAACAAGTATAAGACTATCAAAATGAAAATCATACATATTCAAAAATTGAAAACTTACTAAAAAATTTGGCTATTTTTTTGACATAATTATAAAGTATAATACAACACTATAGTTTAAAAATAAAACATAACAATTTTTTTTATATAATACAAGTTATGAGCTCTAACGAACATTCAATTTTCTTAAAAAACACTAAAAACATACATTAATATATCAATTTATATATAAAGACATATATATATATACTTTTAAAATTTATATGATTATTAATTTATGAAATTGATGGACTATATTATCTTATTATTTTATCGAATTTTGCCAACTTTTATATTAGTCCGACTTAGGACTGATAAAAATTATTATTTTATAATATTTATTAATTGATAGAGGTTCTACTGTAATTGCATTTGAGAAAAATTTTGAGACCAACAAAAAATCTAAAGCCCAGTTCAAACTGTTCATACTTCATAAGTTCATGGTATCGTAAAAAAAAACGTTGATTAGGCCTATATTGGGCCATGTAGCCCTGAAGAGTTAAAACAATAAACAATCTTTAATCCAATGACATTTTCAACGACAAAGAAAAGAAAAAAATTGTGAGGACGAAAACTCTTCGTCGTCCCGGCGAGTTTCTCCAGTGATCGGCAAAGTCTTTCCGGCATCTATTGAATTTCACTAAACCAATAAGTAAGTTTCGATTTACAAAACTTTTGCTGTCTACTCGAAGTTCTTGACTCGTCTCGTCTCTTGTTTCGATTTCAATTTTTAATCTCAGACAAGTTTGCTATCTCTGGTTCTTGTCGGGTTTTGTAGGAATATTATCAGATTAGGAAGTGTGAGACTTCGGTCTTGATAAAAGAAAATGGTTCAAAGTCAGTCGTTAAGCACATTAACAATCTGTGGAAGTGTAAAAGTTTCAAGCTTGTTGAGGAATCGTTTAAATTCATCGAAAGCTTCAAGCTTGATCGGTGATCGATGTGTTTCGTGTCAGTTTTTGCGTAAATCACCGTCCTTTAGAAGTCATTGGAAGTCAATAAAGCAAAGAAATTTGTTGAGGGTTGAAGCTAGATGGCCATTTCAAGGTGGTGGTGGTGAACAAGGTTTAGACCCGAGCTCTGAGCGTAGCGAGAGTGCCAATGAAGATATATTGATCTTTTTCTTTCAGCTGGATTTGGCTACTCGTGTACAGGTTAAGACGAAATGCGGGGTTTTTTTCGCTTTCAAGATTATTGATTACGGTTTTGAAGTGTTGCAATATTGAATGATCTGTGGATTGATGTGTTTTGAAATGGCAGTATGCAATGAATCTGGAGCAGTACGACATCGCGCAGCAACTAAGAGAAAAGCTAACTGAGGTATGTGAAATGTTATTATATGATCTTTAAGTGCGACAAGTTTTGAACTATTCGATCATGCAAAGATGTTAGCTTTTGGTTGGACTTATCTTTGTATTCTTGTATACCGAAATCGCAACACGGTAGTGAATAACAGTCTGTGGTTGGTAGGTGGAAGAGGAGTCGATAAGGCTGCAGGAAGGGAAAAGAGGGTCATCAGCTAAAAGTGAAGCTCAAGACAAGGGTATTAGCATTATAAGGCTACGGTGAGCAGTTTTATTCGGTTATGTGTTTGCTTTGTAAGACATTTTCTCTCTGTGTCTGTAAACATTGAGTATATCATCTTCATTGTTTATTTGATGTAATTGCAGTGCAGATCTCCAGAATGCTATTGACAGTGAGGATTACGGTTTGGCAGCTAAGTTACGAGATGAAATCTCAAAGCTTGAAGCAGAATCATTAGCTGTATCTGCGAAAGCCTTGGCTTTTGAGAAAGCAGAGTATGCATTTCGTTTGGGACAGAAACTTAGACACAAAACTTTTGGTACATCTTCATATGTATTATTAGTGCTTATCTCACTACGGTTTACATTCATATATCGGGGAACTTACGTTGCATTCTTTTCATTTGGCTTAGGTTACCGGGCTGTAGTTTGTGGTATGGATCCAATTTGCTGTGAATCAAGCTCTTGGATGGAAGCTGCAGAGGTTGAAAAGTTACCTCGCGGATCCAATCAGCCATTTTATCAGGTTCTGCTTCTGAAGCAAATGTTCATTAAGATTTAAGACTTGCGTTGAAAGAAAAAGAAGCTAAAATTAATATTTAAATTGTATTCATATACCTATGAACAATCTACAGAAGAAACATGGATATCTTAATCTCTTGCATGTGTCTAGCAGGTTCTAGTCGATGCTCGGACGCACCCAGATCTAGTAGTGGCATATGGTAAGCTCTGAGTTTTCAAGTCCTTTGGATCTCAAAATCTTGCTGCTGCACAACCTTAACCAGTGAACAATCTCACTATTACTTGACAATGTATCTGATATTGCAGTTGCTGAAGACAATCTATTAGCTCCCGAGAAACCCGACAAGGTGAGTAGACTCAATGTGGACAACGGAATCGTCATTGTAATAGTTTGACTCATGTTTGTGTGTGGTTTCTGCAGGAAAGGTTTGATCATCCATACATTTCTTTTCTCTACTATGGAGCCGACACAGCTGGAGATTTCATCCCTGTCAAACAATTGCGTGAGAAGTACAACAGATCTCGGCATGAAGTTCCTTTTGATTCACAAGAAGAAGATTAAGATGAACGCAGCATGTAAGCTATGAGTTCACAACCGCAGACTCGAGCACAAATCACAACAAAACAAGAACTTTAGTATAGCTCAAAGCATCTGGCTACCAACTCAGAGATGTTCTGTTGGTTATATACCCATGTAGATGTAGTTAGCACTTAGCTAGCACGACTGTTCTTGCTATATACACTATAACAAATCAACTTTATTCAAGAATGCTTTGTGTATAAATGCTTCTTTGTTCATCCTACTGATTTATCCAGATTAGCAAAGACAACTAACCAAGTGCTAAGAACTCAGATTCCATTGTGCTATGGCCTGCAATCTTGCTCAGACCTCTTTGCTTCATCAGATTTCTCACTTCTTTAGCCTGGCTCCATTGTCCATCCGATGCATACAAATTAGATATAAGGACATAATAAGAGGCATCATCGGGATGTAAATCAAGCATCTTCTTAATCACAATCTCCCCAAGATCAAATCTTGAATGCATTCCACATCCGTGGAGAAATGCTCCAAAACATCTTACATCTGGTTGAATCGGCATCTTCTCGATGATGTCTAAGGCTTGCTCAAGCTCACCTGCTCGAGCTAGCATATCAACCATACATGTGTAGTGTTTTGTTGAAGGCGTGAATTTGTAATCTTTGTACATTGAGCTGAAGTACTTCTTCCCTTCGTTAACCATCCCTGTATGACTACAAGCTGATAAAACAGATGTGAAGGTTGATTCATTTGGCTTTTGTTGCTTCTTCAGCATCTCCTCAAATAGCTCAAGGGACCCTTTTGTGTCCCCTTGCTTTCCATAGCCTCCGATCATAGCACTCCATGTGATTGTGTTTTTCTCTTCTATAGTATCGAAGATGAGACGAGCAGATTCGGCATCCCCACATTTGGCATAGAAGTCCAGGAGTGCAGTACCAACATGAACACTGGATGATGCCAAAAAACCCAATTTCACGGAATAAGCATGAAGCGAGGAACCTACGGCTAGAGACCCAAGGGAAGCACAGGCTGAGAAGAGACTCGCAACTGTTACACCATTAGGCATCACGGATTCTGTATTCATGCGATGGAACAGAAACAAAGCTTCATGGATAGAGCCGTTTTGCGAAAACCCAGAAATTATAGAATTCCAAGCAACTATATCTTTTTCCGACTCCATTTCAAACACATACTTAGCATCTCTATTCTGGTAACACTTGGCGTACATGTGAACCAGAGCATTTGCAACATTTGTGTCCCAAATACCAACTTTGATGGAGAGGCCATGAATTGATCTTCCCAGTTCAAGATTCCCAACCAAACCGCACCCCGATAAGACACTTGCAATGGTAACACAATTAGGCTTGATTCCAACCCCACTCATTTTCTGAAACAAGCTCAGCGCCTCATTCACACATCCGTTATGGGTGTATCCCACAATCATAGCTGTCCACATGACGAGATCCACATGAGAATGCTCATTAAACACCCGACGTGCATTGCTTATGTCACCACACTTAACATACATATCTAAAAGAGATGTCACCAAGCATGAGCTGAGCTCTATACCACTCTTAATCAAACAACCATGAAACCACTTTCCTTGATGTAAAGCACAAAGCTTTGTGCAAGCCATCACTAGAGTACCATAAGTATATTCATTACCCAAAACAGAGTTTTCCTTCATCCGATTAAACAGAACCAACCCTTCTTCGCACAAGTCGTTTTTAACATACCCAGCAATCATCGAAGTCCAACAAACCACATTCCTCAAAGTAATATCTTCAAACACTTTATAAGAACTCTTGATTTCTCCACACTTAGCATACATATCTAAAAGACCTGTCAACACAACATTATCAAAACTCGGCACCTTAACGATCTGGCAATGTATCTTCTTCCCATTATCTAAATCCTGAACCTCCGTACACGCTTTCAAAGCTTTCGAGAAAACAATATCATCATATCTGAATCCATGCTTCATCAATAAATCATAAAACTTTATGACTTCAACACTCTCGTTGTTCAAGTGATAACATCTGAGCATGACTTTCCATAAATAAAAATCTGGGTCAGGAATTTGATCGAACACCAAGCGTGCATCTTTAGTATACCCAAAAGAACCATATAGACTAACGAGCTTGGTGGCAATCGAGATATCACCCATGAGTCCATTTCCCGTTAAGACTCCGTGAGCTTGCCTTAGAGAATCAATGTTCGTGCACTTACTTCGAAGGAGAAAGCACGGGCTCGAAGCGGCGTAATTCAAAGAAGACTCATAATTGTCTTCGGGCAAATTCAATTCTTGGATTGTCGTAAATGTGACGCATCTCTTTTGAATCAGAAATCTTCTAGTCGGAGACACCCTTTGAGGTAAAAGAGAGATTAAGCGTAGCATCGGTCTTCGCCGTTCACAACTTACCGGCGGTTTGGCTCTTCCCGCCAGATCATTGGTCCTTAAAACGAAAACTTGAAACAATGGGCCTTTAATGGGCCTATGTTATAAAGATATTGGTAATCTAAGGCCCGCTTGTTTATTATTTTACGTGCTATTCTATTCACATTTAGAGGAGAAAAGTGTCAACAAAAACAACAAATATCACAATATGGCGTATAATTTACTATCTCTCTCATTATATGGCGTATATATCTGCTTATGTAATAATTTGTTTCCAAAAATTTCTGTATACTAACTTTGTAACTTTGATTTGATATTAATGAATTTAGAAGGAAAAAAAAAAACAACAAATATCACAATTTTGCTTTTGATTCCAAGAAAATAACGTCAACCAAAATTTTCATAGGTTGTTGAATTGGAGTTAAAGAAAGAAAATAAATCATTTTGAGTAAAACAATTAATTACTTTTAAAAAAAAAAAAAAGCTACTACTTCTTTCGCTGTTTTATGATATAACAAAAAAAAAAAAAAAAGAGTAAACGTACACTCCATTTGAAATATATAATTAATTATGCTCTATTATAGTATTCCCATGCACCAGCATTAATAAAAGTGTTTTGTTTTTTGGCAAAAAGTCTTGCCAACATTTAAAAATATTTTGTAAACGAAACGTCTTCTTGATAAAAAAGAATTATATACTGAATCACTGACCTTGTTTGCATTCTATATATATCATCTTCTGTTCTTCACCCAGTAATTGACTTACAAAATTTTTCTCTTCCATTGAAGGATTCTTAAAGCTTAAAAAGGTCGATAAAAATTGACTTATACATAAACCATGGTTAGGAAAACGACGTCGAAGAGATATTCGGTGGCGTTGGTGGTCGTTATGGTTATATATGTTGCTTTCTCCTCCGTCTTCGATCGTCAATTGTTTCCATCGTTATGTTTCTCTCAAGGTATGTAAATATAAACCGGGCCTTGTGGCCTAGTGGTAAAGGGGTCACAGCTGTGACTTCCGCCACCAGGGTTCGAGGCACGGCCACTGGCAGGTTTACATAGGGGAATTGCCAGCCTCGTGGGATTAGTCCTTGGGCCTAGGAAGCCTTTGGGAAACCCGCGGTTATTCAAAAAAAAAAAAAAAGGTATGTAAATATCAAATTAATTACTTCTTCCATTCAACCAAATAAAATCTTAAAACTGACAAAGATCAAACACACATCTTTATTTCTTTATTTGTTTAACGAAAAACCAACTTTTTAATCAATAACTCACACATGCTTTACTGGATTTTGAATCTATATGCTAATATGTATTACGAAACTAATTCTAACTTTTATAAGTCCCGGTCAAAAGAAGCAACCAAAAGTATTTTTTTAGTCGGATATATAGAATATTTGTTTTCTTGCTTGTTTTAAATTACTTGTTTTTCTTTTCCATGAGAATGTTTTGATGAATCATAGGGTTACATGATTCTTAAATACGAAGTGATCTACAAAATAAAATAGTATACATCACATAGAGATTTAATGGTTACTTTTTGTTTTTAATATTTACTTACTTGAGTTTTGCGACCAACTTAGCTAAGCCTAGTTCTTAAACATGGCTTCGTTTTCAAACGTATGTAATCCATAGACCATAGAGGCCTTTTCCACTTAGCACTATTATTGTATCTTTTCACTTGTATTTTTTTTATGAGTAAACTGAATTTTGATATCTAAATTTAAAACGATTAGAAATGGTAAGAGATCTCTTCTCATCTTTCCTTCGTCCACTTGTCATACCTTTCACCGTTGACAAAAAAAAAAAAAAAAACAACAAATGTTAGTACAAATGTCCACTCTTACTAAAAAAATAAAAGAAGTTTTCTCTGTAGGTACGTTACAACAAACATGGGAATCCAGAAGAATCATGCAACCCACACAACCACAAGAGACTTCTTCGGCAACAATCACATGTGACCGATCCCACACTAATTACGATCTCTGCTCAATCAACGGCTCATGTATTCTCGACCCCAAAACCGGTACTTTTACTCTCATGGATCCAACATTTGCAACTTCACTCGTTGAGAAAATCAGGCCATACCCAAGAAAAGCTGAAAACTGGACCATGCCTAGGATCAAAGAGCTAACATTAAGCTCAGGCCCATTGGGCTTGACCCGAGCATGTGACATAACACATGATTCGCCAGCGATTGTGTTCAGTGCCGGAGGTTACACCGGAAGCATATATCATGATTTCTTGGACGGTTTCATTCCTCTTTTCATCACCGCCAACTCGGTATACCCGGATCGCGATTTCATCCTCGTGGTAGTGAATTCTAAGGAATGGTGGATGCCGAAATACATCGATATTCTAGGTGCGTTTAGCAAACACAAAACCATACTACTTGACAAAGAAAATACTTCTTTTACACATTGCTTCCCTTCAGCCACTGTGGGTCTAGTTTCACATGGGCCTAAAATAATAGATCCAACCCAAATACCCAATTCCAAATCATTAGTGGACTTCCACAATCTTTTAGACAAAGCCTTAGACACAAACCAATCTCTTCTCAAAACTCACAAGCCTCGTCTCATTTTGGTTAGTAGATGTGGGAACATTGGTCGGGTGATAATAAACGAGAAAGAGATCAAAGAGATGCTTGAAGATGTTGGATTCGAGGTAATCACATTTAGACCATCTAAAACGACGAGTGTAAGAGAAGCGTATAAACTTATAAAGTCGAGCCACGTGATGGTTGGGGTTCATGGTGCGGCATTAACCCATTTGTTGTTTCTTCGACCTGGTTCAATGTTGGTTCAAGTTGTTCCGCTTGGGCTAGGTTGGGCGTCAAAAACGTGTTACGAGTCGCCAGCTAAGGCAATGAAGTTGGAGTATATTGAGTATCGGGTGGATGTGGAAGAGAGTAGTTTGATAGAGAAGTATAACAGAGATGATTTGGTTTTGAAAGATCCGATTGCTTATAGAGGAATGGATTGGAATGTGACTAAAATGAAAGTTTATTTAAAAGAACAAGATGTTAGATTAGACGTGAATCGGTTTAGGAAACATATGATTGAAGCATACGAGAAGGCTAAATTGTTTATGGACTTAAATGGTTGATAGACGTTTATGGTTTGTCGAAATGATTTGTGATTTTTGAGTTGTAAAATAAGATGTTTGTTAATAAAATCATTTGGTTCAATGATTTTGGAATAATTGTTATAATTGCGATGTAATTACTAATTAGTGTTGCGTAACATTATTTGTCAGCTTATAATATGATGAGTTTCTATTGGACCCCAACGCATCTATTTCATTATCAAATCAGCTTTATTCGCGTTGAAATTAAGCTTGCACTTTTCTTTTTTTACCTTCGAACCATAATTTCATTAATCAGAAAAAGACACTTGCACTTTAACAAACATATTTATAATAAATTCCATTTTTCTTTTTCAAATAATCAAGTTTTCAAGGAAAAAAATGAAAACTTTAATTTTAGTAAATTCAAAATTCATAAGACGGTTAGACAGTCTTCTTCATCGTTTAAACATTTTCTTAATTTGAAATTTAGCCATCAAAACGGAAATTAAGTTGGAAAATAAAGTAGATGAGGAAAATTACGTAAATGCCCCCGATTCTTTCAATATTTTTGCTTCGAATTATTTTGGCCAATGGAGAAAGAAGAATTGTGAGTCGCCGCAGCTATCACTCTGTTCTGTCACTTTTGTCTTTACTCTCTCAGAGAATCGCTTCAGAGAAAGAAAGAGAGGAAGGAGAATGGAGAAGGCATTAACGAAAGTGACGAGCTTTAAAGTGGGAAGTTCATGGATCTCAAAGAAAGCTAAAGAAGAGCTCTCAAACATCACCAATGACCTCACTGTGAGTGCTCTTTGAATCCATATCTTCTTCTTGATTTGTTCCTTTTGGGTTCTTGCATGTGATGTCTATGTCAAATTTATGGGTTTTTGTTACTTTTGGTCTAATGTTGTGATTAAAAGGCGATTCTTTTGTTAAATCTTGTCGTAGATGTTATCGAAATTGTACAAGAATCATAGATCTAGGAAGATCTGATATGGGTTTTGCCAAGTGAAGATGAAAATTAGTTTAGATCATTAGAATTGTTGATACAGAGTCATATCTCAGACCAATTTTGATTTTGAGTCATAATAATTTACTTTGAAATTTTGATATAAAGAGTCCAGTTTTAGCAATTTGATGTAGAAACAAGATCTGATTTTTTACCAAGTTGAGATTTTAGCATTAGAGAGTCTTTAGAGTTTCCAATTTTAAGTCATTGTTTACTAGAAAAGATGAATCCTTTTTGGTAATAATATGTTCATGTTCTGCTTTTTGTGTTCTTGAATTTGCTATAGTTGTGCCAAGATATCTAGTCTAAGAACATTTTTCGAACTTGTATCATTCGATTTATCTCATTGATTCACTACTTAACTAAGTATCGATGTGTTCGTAGGCTAGTTATTCGATATATGGTTGATTTGCATTGCCTCAAATGGTAATATAATGTTCCGTTTGTTTTCCAGACTTTCTCCAGTACTGTTGAAGAGAAAGCAAAATGGGTTTTCAACAAGCTTAAAGGTAACAAACACCAGTTTTAATACCACAGCACAGACTAAAAAAAGCGCAGATGCGAAAGTTCTTAACCTGCGAATTTGTTCTTTCTTTCTTTTTATAACAGGAAAGCCACTCAAAAGCTTACCAGATCTCCTCAAAGAATACAACTTACCACCAGGACTCTTCCCACAAAACATAATCTGCTATGAATTCGACGAGACAAAGAACAAACTCACTGTCTTCTTCTCTTCACCATGCGAAGTCACATTCAAAGACGGATCAGCGATAAGATATGCGACGCGTGTGAAAGGGATTTTGCTTCGAGGGAAACTGATGGGTGTGGAAGGAATGAAGACAAAAGTGTTGGTTTGGGTTAAAGTCACAACAATCTCAGTAGAGAGCTCAAAGTCTGACAAGCTCTGGTTCACTGCTGGTGTCAAGAAATCTCGATCTAAGGATGTTTACGACACACCTCATGATGCTATCAAAGTCGTTGGAGAGTTCTAAGGTTTTTTTCTTCTTAAATGGTTATTATCATATTTGATTCATGAATTTATTTGGGTATTTGGGGTTATTTGCATTTTGGGAAGAGGTATACTTAAAGGGAATGTGTTTATATAACTCTCATTTTCTTCCTTTATGCAAGAAATCACAAATCTTTATCAAACTATAGTACCACTGAATATTAATTTGATAGATAATATGGTAATTCGCATAACTAATCAAAAACACAGAACCATAACAATTTCAAACTATTCTATAGAATAATCAATAGTCAGTGAGTTTTGGTTCTTGAATTGGTAAGAAGGTTCTACATGTACCAACAATGGGTCTCAACTCTCAAGATATCATGCATCACCAATGCGCAAGTAAATTGAGACAAAAGTGGAGGTCACAATTTTATGAACCTAAGTACAATTTATGAACCTATTGTTATTTTAGGGGTCCCAAACCTAAACAAAATTTGTGGCTCATTTACTCAAGATTTTTTGCTAAACGAGAAAAACAATATTTTGGATCATAAGATTTAAATTAAACCATTGATGTTCTTAAGAAAAGTTTGGAGACTCTAAACAAAATATGTAGTAAAATGATCTTCATACCTAATTACCAAGCTCCAACTTCTTCACTCTTGATTTATATGGTCGGCTAAATATGAAACTCACACATTCTTGAAAAACTTTGTAGCGAGAATGTGTTTTGGCGCTATTACACAATTTTAACTCCTTTCGTTTACGTATATCTTATTTTATATTCGAATATTTGTTTCCATTTCCATGTTATAGTGACGAAAATTGCTACTATAAAAGTATTCTTGTTTCTTGGCTTTCATGATGTGATAAGTGAGAGACGCGATTCGTTGTGGCAATGGATGAAAAGGGCCCCAATTGGGTCCTACAGATATTAAGGATGTATTGTCTCTTTGGCCCGTTTTCAAAGTTACTTGGGCCCTCCAAAAAAGTCAAGTTGTTCTTTTTTTTTTTTTGTTGCCTCCTAAAAGTTCCTCCTCCTCTAACTAACCCTCACGTTTCCTCTTTCACCATTTTTACCAAGCAAAAACTATTCATTACCAAGTCAATTTCACCAAACAATGAACTCTATAAATCAAATGTAATCCATAAATCAGTTTCGTTTATGTATCTATTTATGACAATAACCTTTGTCCTAAAGAAAACAGCTCTTATGATTAGGCTTAATCGACCATAAACTCCGGTCCATTTATTGTACACGTGGCGTAATCTGATTCGTAGAACGTGGTGAAGACAAACTGGTTAAAACCCGTCGAGTCGTGCTTGGAGCTGCGTGGTTGACTTGCGAGGCACAAAACTCTCGTTGTCTTAAGGGACATAATTGTAATTTTAGGCATAAACCGACGCTTTTTATAAACTTTCTTTCCCTTATTAGCCAATCATTACTCAACAATTACAACAAAAATAGACAAAAGAATTTCACATTACCGAATAAATAAATACGAGAAAAATATAAAAAGGATATCTGTTAGATCCTTAAACGACTATATATATTATATACATCCAAAATATTATTATAGCTTATGCATTTTTTGAGTTAATTCCCTAAAGAACCAAAAATTTGAAGTTTGTTTGTAAAATGGTGCGGTAAGAAATTAGAACTAAATGAATAATTGATTTTGGGCATATTTTTCAAATAATATGATATCATGTTTGATATAGCATAAGTACATGCAAAATCAATAACCTATTTATTTACGATTTTATCATCATGTTATTTTGCAAAGAAATATTTATATTTTAACTATCTACCAAATTAACTCAAATGTTTTATGATTAAAATTTTTAATTTCTTGTGTAAGCAACCAATGCATATTTAAATTTTGAATTACCAAAAGAAATCTTTTTCTTTTTTTGACGTAAGAAATCTTAATTTGATTATTGTCTGTAGTAATAACTAATAAGACATTAACTTTCATGAATAACCTTTTTCTTTTGGGACAAATTCTAGTAAGTTACTCCCTTTGTTTCAAAATATATGATGTTTTGGTTAAAATCACACATTTTAAGATTTTTTTAAAAAACTATTATTTAATATTTAATTTAAGAAAAATTTAACCAATGATACAAAAGACTCTAGAATACAAATGGTCACAAAATATCAAAGTATTTAAAAGTTCTCTAAAAATTTGTAAAACAACATATATTTTGAAACAAAAAAAAAATCCTTAAAACATCTTATATTTTAAAACAAATGAGTATGAATTTCACTTTTTTATTTGGGTAAAATGAAATTCACTTTCTTGGAATTTGTATCATTCATTACGAACGATGTGTCATTTTTCTTAAAAATTACAGAATTTAAAGGGAAATCAGGTAAATAAAAAAACAAATTAACAAGAAAAATAAATGGAAAAAATGAAAAAGACAGAGTTTACTCTATCATATCTGCACCGCAGACTTTATACTGTATAAACAAAAACAAATTATTTATTGATATTTTTCGAGATCTGCTTGAGGAGACAGACACAAGAAAATCACAAAAATCTCTCCCATTAAAAGACTGCAGAAAGAAATAATTTTATACAAAACAAACAAAGTGAAAGAGAGAAACACGACACGAATTTTGTATAATTAAGATTATACAAAAAAGTGTTTAAAAAGAGAAAGAAAAAGAAAAATATCTTTTTTTCTGTGAGTTGGGTTTGTTAAAGTTTTATCCTCTTTGTTCTCAAAATCGGAATCGATGGCGGAGAAGGAAGAAAATGAACCGTCGAAGTTAAAATCATCAACCGGAGTTACACGGCCAACGATTTCGCTTCCTCCTCGACCGTTTGGTGAAATGTTTTTTAGCGGTGGTGTAGGATTTAGTCCTGGTCCTATGACTCTTGTCTCAAATTTGTTCTCTGATCCTGATGAATTCAAGTCTTTCTCTCAACTTCTTGCCGGAGCTATGGCTTCTCCGGCTGCAGCTGCTGTTGCCGCCGCTGCTGTTGTTGCTACTGCTGCTCATCATCAGACACCTGTGAGCTCTGTCGGTGATGGCGGTGGAAGCGGTGGTGATGTTGACCCGAGGTTTAAGCAGAGTAGACCAACGGGATTGACGATTACTCAGCCACCGGGGATGTTTACTGTACCGCCGGGATTAAGTCCGGCGACGCTTTTGGATTCTCCGAGCTTCTTTGGTCTTTTTTCACCTCTTCAGGTGTGAAATTCGTAATAACAAAAATTAAAGTTTTGTTTTTTTTTTTCGTTGTTGTTAGTTTGAAGTTCTGTTTTTGGTAAATGAAAGTTGACGACTTTATGGTTTTTTGGATATTTTGTTGCTGTTTCTGGTATTTGTTTTCATTTAGTTTATGGATGTAAATCCAAACCATATTACTGGATTATGGGATTAAAAAAAACCTTCAAATGTTCTTCATTTTAGGTCAAAATTGGGAAATTTTGACTTTAGAAATTAAGGATACTTTTTTGGGTATCAGAATCTTTGAACAAAAGAATTTAGACTTTAGAAAGTAGGAAACTTTCAGACAAAGAACATTGTCAATGTCAAATAGAGAAACAGAGGTGTAGTTTAGAAACCCATTAGTATTGTTTCTTTTCTAAATGTTGAATCTTTAAATTTATTCAAGAATTTGCTTGGATTTGTTACCTTGTCTTTTGGGATATTATCTGATATGAATTTATGTGTAGGGAGCATTTGGTATGACACATCAACAAGCTTTAGCACAAGTCACTGCACAAGCAGTTCAAGGCAATAATGTTCATATGCAGCAATCACAATCTAAATATCCTTCCTCTACACAAGAACAACAACAACAAATTTCATTGACTGAGATTCCGCCATTTTCTTCTGGATCTCGGTCTCAGATTCGAGCCTCGGTTCAAGAAACATCGCAGGGTCAGAGAGAAACTTCGGAGATATCTGTCTTTGAGCATCGATCACAGCCTCAAAATGCTGACAAACCAGCTGATGATGGATATAACTGGCGGAAATATGGGCAGAAGCAAGTGAAAGGAAGCGATTTTCCTCGGAGTTATTACAAATGTACGCATCCAGCGTGTCCTGTCAAGAAGAAAGTGGAGAGGTCACTCGATGGACAAGTAACGGAAATCATCTATAAGGGTCAGCACAATCATGAACTTCCTCAAAAGCGCGGTAACAATAACGGGAGTTCTAAAAGTTCTGATATTGCAACTCAGTTTCAAACAAGTAATAGCAGTCTCAACAAGAGTAAGAGGGATCAGGAAACAAGCCAAGTTACGACAACAGAGCAGATGTCTGAAGCAAGTGATAGCGAGGAGGTCGGTAATGCAGAGACTACTGTGGGAGAAAAACACGAAGATGAGCCTGATCCCAAGAGAAGGTAAAAAAGATAAGCTCATGAGACTGTACTGTTCCTCTTACATTCATTTCTTGTGGGTTTTGGTTTTTCTGATGAGATTTAAACAATCTTTGAATGTTGCAGAGATACAGAAGTTCGGGTTTCAGAACCAGTTGCTTCATCGCATAGAACTGTGACAGAGCCTAGAATTATTGTCCAAACGAAGAGTGAAGTTGACCTCTTAGATGATGGATATAGGTGGCGCAAGTATGGTCAGAAAGTAGTCAAAGGAAATCCTTATCCAAGGTAAGACTAAAAACCGGTCATCGAGTTCAAGATAGTCATTGGTTTTTTTCCTTAATGCTCTTTGATCTAATCCACAGGAGCTACTATAAGTGTACGACACCGGATTGCGGAGTAAGGAAACATGTAGAGAGAGCAGCAAATGACCCGAAAGCTGTTGTAACAACATATGAAGGGAAACATAACCACGACGTTCCAGCTGCTAGAACCAGCAGCCATCAATTAAGACCAAACAATCAACCCAACACCTCAACGGTTAACTTTAATCAACAACAGCCCGTTGCGCGTTTAAGGCTTAAAGAAGAGCAAATCATTTGACAGAGAAGAAGAATACGCGGCTCTTGAGCTTTTATGAGTTTGTTGAATCTTCTTTTTGGTAATGACCTGTTGTGTTACCTCAAATTACCTCAGGTCTCTATGGACAGCACTCTGATGATATTACAGTTTCAAAAGGTATGTTCTTTTATTTCATGTTGGAATCTTTTGTGTTATCTTAAGAAGCTTTAGGAGGTAATGTAAAAACCAGATTCAAAGTTCTGGTCTTATGTGAATTCTTCTGTACATGGGAAAACAAAAAAATTACAGGTTACATTTGTGGATGAATGTTTTTTTTTGGTTATAATAACAATGTCTATACAAATGAAATCTTTGTATAATTCAGACAAATCTAACCTTAGCTAAATTAAGAAATCTGACAATACTGAATAAATCTTGATTCAGATTATAGTTTTCAAGTCTCAAGAACAGTAAAGAAGATCAATATACAAGGTTACAAACTTGCTTTATCATACAAAAAGACCAGATTTTTCGAACACTAACTTGAAAACATAACAACAAAACAAACAACACCTTTTAATTCTTCATCATCATCATCATGATTCATCAGATGTTGTTGTAAGCTACAGAGACCAAATGAGGAACTTTACCATCATCAAAAGGCAAGCTCACATATTCTCTAGCAAACTCTTCAGCTATCTCCCAAACAAGCTCACCATGAACAGCTTTGCAATACATATACATCACAGTAGTCGCCGCAAGATTATACAACGTCAACAGCGTTAAAAACGCAGACGTGATCACAATCTGTACCACAAAGAAAGCATTCGTCCATAACTTCCCACCATTTTCGTCATCGTTGAGCTGAGCAGAGGCGGCTAAGGTACTAATCCAAACGAGAATCGATTCGGTTGAAGCGAAGAAGAAGATTATCGACAAAGAAACACTTTTCATTCCTTTAACCAAGCTTTTACTTCTCTTCAATGGAGTTAAACCCCAATCTGATTCAACAACAACAACAACCCAAGCAAGAATCCAATTCACATAGAGCTTAATCGCAATTGCAATCGACATAATCGTTACTACGATTATAAAACCTTGGAAATACGAAGACGAGTAATCGAATTCGACACCGGGGATGATCTCAATTAGCTTAGTCAACAAGAAAGCTAAAATCCCTAGAATCAGAAAAACCCCAAAAACTATAAAATTCGATGAAATCAAAGTAGCGAGAAGAGGTAAAAACGAAGCAACGCTCGATTTCACTGCAGAGATCAATTTCACAGGTCTTCCATAGAAACCTTGAAACACACTATAAGCGATTGATCCAATAGCTAAGAGATTGAAGACGGTGACAACAACGATGTAACCAATTAGAAGCAAGACCGTTGTTTTGGTATCGACGTCGTCATCGTTTTGGTGGAGTCCGCGGAGAAGAGAGACGCTGTTGTGAGAAGCGGAGGATTGATCGGTGATGAGACGGAAGACAGAAGGGTAAACTGTGATGGAGAAGCAGAGAGGAAGGAGGAAGAGAACGGAGAGAGCTAAGAAGTGACGTGAGTGAGCGTTGATGATTCGTTTTGATTCTGATAAGATTATCCAGAGATTCACCGGAGGAGGAGATAGAGATGAAGATGGAGTCGCCATTGAGAGGTTAATGACGAAGACTTTTTGCTTGAAGATATTGTAGTACGGGTAGGGTCGGGTCGGGTCAAACCTATAGTAATTTTTTTGTTCTATAAAAACCCATGTTCTAAAAATTCTGGCCTATCCCGCTTAATCGTTAGGTCCATCTTCTCCGCCTCGATTAATGACTAATCCCTTAAAAAAATCAGTCACCCGATTACTCTCCGCCTAATCCGATTAATTCCCGTCTAATCCGATTATTTTCCGTCTATTCTTACATATCCCGATTATTTTTTTATTGCAAGTATAAAACAACTCTTTTTTTTGTTATTTAAACATTTGAATTGGAAGTTTGTGATGTTTTACAATAATTTATGTTCAAACTTTTAATAAAAATCATAATCTTTAATAAAAAATCATAAAAATTTGCCTTAAAATATATTTTTATGTGTTTACTACAATTTTGAAAACAATATTAGATTAATATATTTTAATATTAAAATAACCCTAAAACTAATCCCCGATTTTAATCCGATTTTCCGATTAATCGCTAGGCCCATACCGAACGCCCGACTAGCGCCTACCGATTTTTCAAACAAGGATAAAAACTATAATTGTTTTTTTCAACCTCACGATATCTCTTCGGCTAGGTATTTTAATCCATCTCCTTTTTTTTTCACTAGACACATGGAAGTTTTATTAGAACTGAAACCAGAAATTACACAACGCCGGCAAAGCTCGAGATGACACTTTCCGGACACAAAGCCGGCAAAGCTCAAGATGACGATTAGAGTAATCGTAGGTTTAAATTTCGTTTGTGCAACGATTAGAGTAATAGTAAATTACAAGAACCTAATCGCTTGCTAACAACACTTGAATCACATCACACTCTAATCGTTTTGCCATTCGATGGTAACATGCGATTAGGGTCATCACATCACACCCGAATCGGGTTGCCATTCGGGGCCTAAGTGCAAGTGTGCAAGTGTCAAGTAGAAGTAGTATATGTATGTGTGTCTTGTGTTGTAAGAAGGTATCCAATATCAAAGCAATTATCAATGTAGAAGATTAAAGTAAAATGGTTTTTGTTCTTTCTCTCTAAAAGACAATGATACCGTAAATGAGTGTGAGAATGTGAGAATTACAACAGATACCCACGAGTAAGACTAAACAGAACCCAATAGGATAATATGGTAATACACATACTCTACCCAACCCGGTTTTTTGGGATCGGTTCCGGTTCGGGTTTTCGGGTTCGGTTTTTTTTTGCCATGCCTAATTCATAGCTTCACTTATGCTGAAGCTGTAGAACTAATTTGTGTTCTAAAACAACATAGATGCTCTGTTTAAAAGGTAAGTATCTATAAATATTTTTTTCATGGTTCCCTTCGGTGTTGTAGTTGGACTATAACCAATTCAAGCTATACTAAAATTCTGTATTTTATGAGCTTCTGGACTTACTTCCCAAGAAGCTCTCATTGAATCAGTTTACAGTAACCATCAAGATGCTTCTTTTGGCAATGGCCAAAGATACACATTAACAGACTATCAACCATTCTATTTTCAAGGTTGAGTCATCTCTAACCTAGAAACTAAGCCAGCTAATGAAGAAGTACAGTTGGCTGTAACCAAATCTGATTTAGCTAACTTCTTACTTAAACTACCTAGAAGACATGAATGTCACTTGTCTTGTCAACCTAATAGATAATCAAATCCAATTTAAGTCTAAAACCCGTAATAACTCGAATCTTGAAGGTAAATTGCAAGCAATAAGAGGTAACAATAACAAACCTAAAGAGAAAAAGCTACAATGGAAAGTCTAAACTCTGAAAATAAGGAATGAGCTCACTATCATAAGGACCATAAATAACAGAATGAAAAACTAGGGAAGTAGGATGAGAAAGCATTTGAATGAACTTTGAGGAAGAGAGCTCTGAGATAAGCACCTTTTTATTATCCTTGGAAGTCACCATAAGTGTGATGGGTGACCAAGAACCTTCATCGGGAAACAAAGAAGAAATTAAATTAAACTCTAAGGAGAACATCTTCTCTGATTCCCATTCCAATTCCAACGCGTTTTTGACCCTCCAAAAATGTTGTATACCATTATCTCTCTCCATATCTGTAATCCACATACGGTCACTTAGACTAACCATACTAATTGCTTGAGAACATGATGCCTTGGAAATAATAGTATTTGTAATGACTTGAAACATTTCTGTGTGAAGATTATAAGCAAGAATTCTCTGATCTTGAGTGAGCCAATAAAGCCATCCCTTTGCAAATACTGGTTCTTTATTTGGCAGTAGCTCATAAGGCGTGCATATCACGTATCTCCATTCCTTGACCTCAAAATCGAAAATTTCTGATTCTGAGATTTTGCTCCATTTGTTCCTTTTGTTATGTAACCAGACAAGTTTGTATGTTCCTGTAACATTATCTTTCCCAAATCCCGGGTAAGAGAGCATATTTGGACGTACCTTCCTCCACCGGCCTAAATTCTGTTGCTGAAACCTGGAAAGAGGGAGGATTTGAGACTTTCCCATGGCTGGGTTTATCACAATGATTGGAGTTGCCAAGTTGTCCGCGTCAAACATGCAGACAAGCCCGTCGCAATTGCCTAAAATGCTGAGATTGTTTTTTCCCATATCTGTTTCAATGCGATGAGTGGGGCCTTCTTCGATTAGACAAGTCGAAGACCACTCCAACTTCATCGTCTTTAGAGCAATGTTTGGCTTATACCATCTTTTATCTTCATTGAGACAGAGAAATTTGGGTTCTTGGGTTTTCTGATGCAACAAGTGTCTCTCTGTGAAAGACCTAGACTTTATCGTATTCCTCCAGTGTTTTGAAACGATTTGGAATCTAAGTAAGGATTCCACTGGAAGCCTTACCAGAATTTCTTCAAAGACATCGTCGTTGGGTATCTCAATATCACTTTCTCTTCTTCTTCTTCTTTTGCTTCCTCTTTCTGATGACAACCATAAAACAATGTCTTTACCTTTTTCGTGGCTCTTCTGCTTCTCCATAGATGATGGATATTGTCTCTGACTCTCTGTGTCTCTGATCTAAACCACCACTCACTCAAACTACTCTACGAATTGCAAACCCTAATTTTCTGAAATGATCACACTTTTACCAAAATGTATTGAAAAAAAAAAATGTATTGAATTTAAAACCCAATTAAAAAATTAGAAAGCCCAATTTATATATTTAAGCCCATCAATATTTTTGGTGACACAAGAGGACAAATGTTCTCTCAGTGTTCGTCTGAGATGCCAACCGGTAATCAGTAATAATTTGAAATCTTAGAGTTAGGGGTACTTTAGTAATTCTAGTTATAACGGCTATATGAACGAGGCCGTGTTTCTGAAATTTCCTTTTATTGATTTGATTGATCTCTCTCTCGCACATGAAAAAACTCTCTTCTTCTTCTTCTTCTTCTTCTTCTAATTTTTGCCTATTTCTCTTGAATTCTTCAATTTCAACAACGTAATCTGACCCGACCCGCTTCACCTGATCGGATTCGGCAATCAACGAACAACCACTCATATCTCTTCGGCTAGGTATTTAATATTTCTCCTAAATCGTGCTGGTTTCTCCTGAATTATCCAATTTCAAATACGTAATTTGATCTGATTCACTTCGCAAATTGTCTCGAGTACCGGTGCTTTTTTTCCGGCGATCAAACACTAGAAAGGGCGTGTTCTCTCAGTTCGTCTAAGGTCAGTTATACGAGAGATCAAACTTCCGTCGAGGCAATTCCGATCTGATTTATGAATTGCGTTTCTCTGTTACTTGATTAGAATATATATTGTTACACGAGAAATCAAACTCCCGGATTTAGGGTTTCGTCAGATTGATTTGTTTACGAATTGTGTGTTCTCTGTTACTTGATTTGATAATTGTTACTGTTACTTAATTTATCCCAATTGGTAGGTGATCGATTTTGTTATTTCCTCGATAGTTTTTGTGTTTTGTTTGATTTGGTTTTTGACAGGAAGATCAAAAGGATTCTGATTCATGATCTTCGAGGACAATAAATCTATGGGATACTATCAAAGAGATGGTAAAGGAGAACGTGGTGGTGACTGGTAATCGTAGATAAACTATAGTTTTGTGCTGCTCTGTTTTCGGTCTAGATTTGTTCTGCATCGTCGTGTCTCCGGTTTGATTCTTGCTCTTGTTCTTATGGTTTACCTTTTTGATGTCACAGATCGTTTCAGGTCTTCCTTGCTTGAAGAAAAGAGACTTGCATTCATACATTCATGCATTCATGCATTCATTCATGCATTCCTACATACATTCATACATGCATACATACATACATTCATACATACTTGCATAATTTCATACATATATACATATATACTACATACTTGCTTCTCTTGCACATTCATAATTGCTATGAAACGTCTCTCGGTGACAAGTGACAATAAGAAGCACGTGAGAGAATGTACCTTGGCTGCTCTTGATTCGTATCTTGGGGCTGTGCACTTTGGCGAAATGGTTGGTGACAACTTACAGTCTTTTCTTAGTCTGTTACTGCATTTGATATCAAAGCTCTATTTCATGTTGCATTTTATTCATATCAAAGCTGCATTAGCAGTTTAGCACATGTCACAGAAGCTCTCTTGAGCTGTTTTTATTTGTAAGTATTACTGAGTTTGATGATTTTTGCATTATATTGTAGTGCAGCAACTTTGGCTACAAAAGAAGAGATATAAGGTCTACAAGAACTAGAGAAGTCAGTGGAAATCTTGGTCGGTTGTTGTGTGCAGTTCCTGGTTGGAATGAGAAAAATGTGCAGGTATGCTTGTTGTTCCATCTAAAATCTTCTTATATGTAATTATCGAATTATCCCCGCAAAAATAATTTAAAGAAGTCCCTGGGAATATTACTTGGAAATGTAGGTTCAGCAAATCATCACTCACATATCTTTGACTCTCGCAAATTTTCCCAAGAAATGTGTCATACTTTGTATTACAGGTTAGTATCATATGAAGAAAAAGCAACTTTCAGTTCTATCTTTAGACGTCAGTTCTATCTTAGATAGACTAT